GGGAGGTTTGAGGACGTGTGGGGGGTGGGGAATGATGGGCAGGTAGGGACTGGGTACGGTGGGGCGGGGTGGAGAAGGCTAGGAGTCTGTGAGCGCTGGAGACAAAGGTATCCCGTGGACCATCTGCTTCTCCAACCACCACTAAACAGGTAGGCTAGTTTAAAGAAACCGTTCCCGTGGTCAAGGAACCTGCCATCTGGTACTTTAACCCCTTGTTGTTCGAAGTGTAGCCTGCTGACTAGCAGCACTGGCGTCATCTGGGAACTTATTAGAAACGCAGAATATCAGACCCTACTCCTGAATCCAAACTGCATTTTAGCAAAGTCCCCAAATGTTTCGTGTGCACATTAAAGTTTGAGAAGCACTGCTTTCCCGGACTCTCCAAGGACAGCAGCTTGCGAAAAGGCCGAGTTGCGGTTCTTAGCGACCAGAGAGGGCAGGTGCGCCGGGACAGGGGCGGGGCCAGCAAAGGGACAGGTCCCAGAAGCCTGAGAAGCAAAGTCCAAACCGCCCGCTCCCCTCAGCTGCCCTCCCCTTGCGTACGCATTTGGTTAGAATCTATAGGGCTACCTGTTCTTCTTTTCCTGCAGAAGCCCCCTCTAGGGCTCACGAAACTCGGCCCGCTCCGCCCCGGGCCCGGAAGCTCGCTCTGGCTGCCAAGGCTACGGAATCGCGGAGTCAAAAGAACCGCCATGAGCTCGCGCGCCGACTCCTCCCCCGGCCCGTAACCCCGCCCCAACCTGACTCGGGGGGGGGGAGCCAACGGAGTCCCGGCCCCGCCCCTTCCGAACCAGCCGGAAGTGATGTCATGCCCTGGCCGGCTGGTCTTTTCGGTCTTCCTCCTCCCTTACTCTTCTTCCCCAGTCCCTCCCCTCCCCTCCCCCTTCCCTCCTCTGGCTCCAGGCTTTGAGGCCGCGCGGGTGGAGGAGGCTATGGAGTAAGCTGGCCACGGCGGCCAGGCGCGGAGGCTAAGCCGGAGCAGCCAGGAGGCGTTTGGGGGGGCGGGGGAAACGAGCCCCAGTACCGCCCCTCCCGGGAGGAGAGAGGAAGAGGTGAGTGACCGCCCACGGGCACCGAGCGACCTCCCTCCCCGGCCGCGCTCCCCCATGGGCTCCCAAGGCCAGCGAGGTGGGAATGGGGAAGGACCCGCGCCCCGGGTAGGCCTGCCAAGGCCCCCGGGGTTGGCGAGTGTTGCCTGGTGACGGGCCTGCGGCTTGCGGGCTGGGCTGGTGGGGCGGTGGGCGCCCGCACGAAGCCGGCTGGGCTGGGGGCGCAGCGAGCTCCAGGGAGCGGATCCGGGAGGCCCGAGTGCCCCGAAGAGGCCTTAAAGCGGCGGGAGACCCGGGGCCGGAGCCGTCTGCCGGAGGGAGAGCCCCCAGCTCCGACTCGGGAGCTCGGGTTTCCGTGGTGGAGACCTCGGTTCTCTTTTGGGAAATTGGACACTTCTCCGGGACTGGGTGAGACAGCTCCCCTCAGTTCTGAGGTCCGCCTCTGATAACCTGATTACCAACCACGGCCCCGCCGCCTGGCGTCGTTTTCTGACAGCAGCTGTAGTTCTGGAACGGACGGTTATTGTGTGTGAGGTGGGTGGGGCATGTGTTTGTTGATGCTAAAAACCCCCTCGGTGGCTCCGGCACTCTTGTTTTTCTAAACCGGAGAGAAAGGATGAAGGAAGGTTTAGACCAATAAACCTTGCAAAAACTTCTTGGGGTCCAACTGAATACATACAGATGATGAGTAATTAAGAAGACCAATATTGTCCAGTCAACCCTTATAACAATCTTCATGAGACTCCAGACTCAAGCGACTTAAAAGCTCTATGTCAGTAGTGACTTAAAATTGTAAGTTGCAGACTAGTTTTATTGTAGATCAAATTCAGTAGTTATCTGTATGATGGCTTTTTTTTTTACAAATTGGATTCTGTGAGTAAGAAGTTTGCTAAGTCACATTCGCATGCCTTTCCTGGAAAATTAATATAGTTTAACTAAAATTCTCCAAACTAGCCTGTCACTGTAAAACCTGATGATGTTCTGGTAATGGCTTGAAAGTCTGGTGCTTGAAGCTTCCTTTTGGACTCTGCAGGCTTTTTTTGTTTGGCTTCCTGTCTTATTCTAATATTAATTTTAAAAATTTAAAAATGATTTATCAGCTGATTGTATAAATAGACTTCTTGAGACAATATTAAACTGTAGTCATAAAAGATTCTTTTGGGAGATTGTGTAAAGGAAATGAGCCACTGGTAAAGACATTCATTTTGTTCAGATTTGCTTTACATACAGGCAGAAACCTATTCTTTTGTCTCTAAGATCCGTAAACACCCAATAAAATAAATTCAGGTGCATTGTACTTCCATACAATGGACTATTTCTGTACAAATCAACCCTATAATTGGGAATAACGACTCATACGCACATGTTTGAAATTCATGATTTACCCCCCAAGAAAAATGGGTCCTCTTATTGTGTTTAACTCAAGTGACTAGTTTCATCATCCATCCCTTTCTATAGGAGTAGAAGTTAGACAACTTCTCTCTCTCATGCTTTATATCAGTCTCTCATGAGATCCTGTTGATTTGGCCTGGTGATTATCTCTTGAGTCTGTCTGTTCTTCATCTTCACCACTAGTACTCTAGTTCCAGCCACCATCTCTTATCATCTCTCATCTGAAGTATCACAAGCCTCCTGTTTGTGGTCTTCGTACATTTACTGTGGTGCCCTTTGTAGTTTTCTACGCCAGACTGAGTGACTTTTTCAAAATGCAGATCTAATCACATTGTCTCCATGTTTAAAACCCTTCAGCGGCTTTTATTGTTTTTAAGAGAAAGTAAAATCCTTAACAGCCAGTTTGGACCCCCCTGATTGCCTTTCTAACCTCATCTCCACAGTGCTTTCTGGTATTTCTTTCTCCCCTAGTCACCTGTTCTTTCTGTTGTGCTTCAGGTACATAGCTTTTGATTATGATGCTTCCTCTGCCTGGATATGTGCTGCTTTTCTTTTTCACCCTGTTAATACCTGCTCAGCATTCAGCTCACTTCATGAAAGACTTTCCTGATTAGGATAAATTCCCCTAATTGTATGTTTTCATGACACCATTGCAGAGTTGCCATATTTATTAATAGTTAATAAATTAATATGTTCCTCATCTCCTAATACTGTGTAAGTGCTCAATAAATGTTTGATAAATGAATGAATCCATTGAATGCTTACTAAACGTACCAGGAACTAAGCATTTTACGTGCGTCATCATCTTTAATCCTCACAACAATCACTTGAGGTATGGGTGGCATTTCCCCCTTTTTAAAGATTAGAAATAGTGTTAGAGAGGCTACTTGGTGGTCACAGTGCTAGTAAGTATTAGAACTGGGATTTGAACCCGGGTTTCCTTACCACTGAAGACTGTGTGCTTAATCATGTAACACTTAATCTCACCCTGTGCATCAGAATCACCTCGGGAGCTGCTCAAACTGCAAATGCCCTGACTGCACATTTGTAGATTGTAATTCCAGAGGTTTGAGGTAGTACATAAGCATCTATAAGGTTTAAGAAGTTATCCAGTCATTTAGATGTTATTAGATGTATTTAGATGTTCGTCAGGGTTTGAAAACCACGGCATTGGAGTTTGAAAACCATTGTCTTAGATAACACTTCAGTGCTTTATGAGTTTTGGTTTTCACACATTGTACTACACTTTATTTCAAATTTTATGTGTTCTTAAATCTTGTATCTTATTGGGGGAAGAGTTTACCGGAAAGCTCACTCCGCCATGACGTTGACGTCACTCTAGGAGATTTTAATTTTTATGAGTCAAATCTGTAGGTTTCTCTTGGAGTCTTTCTTTCTTTGCTTTGAGATTGAAGAACTGTAGACCTAAGAAAGTAACCTTAGTGGTCACTTAGTCTAATTTTCTACTCTGTTATTCCTTTTCCCCCTTCTCCAGCTGGAGGGGCTGAGTAGTGAGACACTGCCACCCCAGTGCTGCTACTTTTTTAAAAAAATTACAATTTCAAGAATCTGATTGATTTCCTGTAGTAAAAACTACACTAAGTAACTGGGCTGGATGTGCCTTTAGAAGAGTTGAATGTAATCTCTCCTCAGATCTTACTTATTGTTCAAATTACTAATTTGATATTTAAGCATATGTTGCTTTATAATCTCTTATGTTACCTTTTAAATCTTATTGTACAATGGTCTTAAGTTTGTAAGCAGTGAAACTGGGTGTTTTACTTCTTGTTTCTCCTAGTGCACCTAGCATAGTGCTTTCCAGTTAGTAGGTACCCAATAATTTGTTGAATGGATGTGTGCTTCGTTGTACCTTGCTAAGTCTCTTTAATTCTTGTTTATTTCTTAAATCGGGTTTGTCTCCTGTAAATAATCTGTTCTAGCTCAACTGATAATAATTAGATACTTTCTGTAGTTGTAAAGAGAATGATTGTACTCAACTGGTATAATCTTTGTTTTCTAAATAAGATTAAACATGACTTCTCTGTAGGCCAAAGAATGGTATTAACCATTTTTTATTTTTTTATTTTTTTATTTATTTTTTTTTTTAAAGATTTTATTTATTTATTTTTTCCCCCAAAGCCCCAGCAGATGATTGTATGTCATAGCTGCACATCCTTCTAGTTGCTGTATGTGGGACGCGGCCTCAGCATGGCCGGAGAAGCGGTGCGTCGGTGCGCGCCCGGGATCCGAACCCGGGCCGCCAGCAGCGGAGCGCGTGCACTTAACCGCTAAGCCACCAGGCCGGCCCTTAACCATTTTTTAAAAACTATATCTTTTTAAAACTTCTAGTAATCTCTGAGTGCTCCCACAAGAAAAAAAACATGTATTTCAAGAATATATCTCAGGATTATCTTTCTTACATATAAACATAAGCACTGCATATAGGAGGGTAGGTACAAAATTTTTCCCCAAATTTTATGAAGCATTTTACCAAAAGTATTTGTCGTGTTAATATAGTTCTTATTTCAAATTACAAAATTTCATTTTCTGAATACTTAACTATATAAATAACTGTATAAGTGGTATTCTTTTATTTTCAGGCATTTACATAGGAATCTCAGACCCTTGTCCCTCTTTAAGAAATAAAACAGTCTATTTTGAGTTCATGTATATTTATTTGTATTATTGTTCTTTGTAGTCAGTGTCTATTATTTTGTGTTTATTGAAAGTCTAGTCTCTTTTAGGTGCCATGAGACTAGCAGTTACTAAACATGATTTCATTGTCAGAAGTTGTTACAGTAACTTACAGTAAAACAGTAAAGTTTTTATTTGCATTACAGTATTTCCAACAAAAATGCAAGCTAATTCTACTTTTTAATATTTTATTCTTGGGGAAGTAAGGGACTCGTTTTGCAATTGTGTCACTTGAAAATTGTGGAAGTTTTTTTTAGCATAAATATAATTTTACCTACTATATTCCTGGTATATCTGGAGTTTATGAGTAGGCAGACCTGAAAGAATTGCCAGTTCCTTTCAGCTGCCTGCCATCAGGTGCCGTTAACACTCAACCCACCTTCTGCCAGGTGCATGTAAAATCTAGTATTAGAACAGATTCACCTCTGGTTCTACTAAAAGCTAAGTGATGGCTGAGCCAGATGGTAAAGAGAGAGAATCTTGGGATCATACTGAAGCTGCCCCAAATCTTACTTTGGCTGAGATTTAGGAGGGGAAGATGATTGAATTTCAAGTGAATTCTACTAAATGTTGTACAAGGGGAAATGGTTTATATGATAAATATTTCTGTCATTTATAACTTTGTCTTTGGAAAAAATAGGCTCATTTCTTTTTTTTTTTTTTTTTTTAATAATTTTATTTATTTATTTTTCCCCCAAAGCCCCAGT